TGACTTTATTGTGTTGCAAGTGCCGTAAAACTTTTATTAAAACTAAACCGCCCCTTGACACTCATATGACCTAATGCAGTTGCGAACGTCATAAAAAAACCTTCCTAAACAAAAAAAACCCCACTACCAAGCCCATCCCCCAATTCCTGGTGTGTTCCCCTACACAGAGAGTGCAGCATCAAGTGGAGGAGCTAGAACTCATGTACGTGCAGTGTGTGGCTAGGTTTGTGGAGACGAGCCACCCCAAGCTCCACCTCAGCTTCCCTCAGCGCTACTCAGCCCTGCTGGAGGAAGTGCGGCAGAAATTGCTGCACAACCTCACTTCCAGGTACTTTTTTTGTTGTTGTTTTTTTTTGTGCGTTGGTGGGTGGTTGGCGGGTTCTCTGGTTTGGTTTGCTTCTTTTTTCCTATTAAACAACGATCGTCTTTATCTCTCCTCCTTTTTTCCTATTAAACAACGATCGTCTTTATCTCTCCTCCTTTTTTCCTATTAAACAACGATCGTCTTTATCTCTCCTCCTTTTTTCCTATTAAACAACTATCGTCTTTATCTCTCCTCCTTTTTTCCTATTAAACAACTATCGTCTTTATCTCTCCTCCTTTTTTCCTATTAAACAACTATCGTCTTTATCTCTCCTCCTTTTTTCCTATTAAACAACTATCGTCTTTATCTCTCCTCCTTTTTTCCTATTAAACAACTATCGTCTTTATCTCTCCTCCTTTTTTATGTTTGTTACTCTCTTGTAACACCTCTAATATTCGGCACTTTTATGACCTTATTGCGTAGCAAGTGCCATAAAACTGACTAAAACTTTTGTGTGTTGTTTGTTTGTTTGAGAAGCATATGGACTCAGTAATGGTAGTATAACACTAGGGAAGAAGTATGATAGACAGAGAGTCACAAAGTCAAATAGAAATAATAATAATAATTGCTTTTATATAGCTCATATCCACACTCTATTGTATGCTCTATGAGATTTACAAGTATGTCATCGATCTATCCTTATACCTAATCCTCACTTTATATATCTGTCTGTCTGTCTGTCTGTCTGTCTGTCTGTCTGTCTGTCTGTCTGTCTGTCTGTCTGTCTTGTCTATTTATCCTTACCCCTTTGCACTTCTTCTGTCTATCCACACACCTGTGCTAGATGTGATTGGTCTTCCCCTTATCTGTCCATCCGTGTGCCTGTGCTCAGCTGGCAGCTGCTTGGAGAACAACACCGGCAGGTTCTACTTCTTTGACTTAGTTCAGATTAGTTTTAGTAAGAATTTTACTGCACTTGCAACTCAATTGAATATTATCAGGGCCAGGTCTACTTGTTTACTACCTTTTGTTTCTGTTAGTCTGTCTGTCTTGCTTTCTTCGTCGGTTGTTGGCGGGTGCACTGGTGTGGTTTGCTCCTTCTTTCCTATCAAGCATCTATCGACCTTATCTCTCTACCTTCTTTTTTGTATTTGTTACTCTCTTGTAACGCCTCTAATCTTTGGCACTTATATGATCTTATTGTGTTGCAAGTGCTGTAAGACTCTACTAGAACTTGCTTTATTCCAGCTCAAAATAAGTTATATTGCAATGCCATTGTGCAACTTTTTTTTTGTGGAATAGAAAGAAAGAATATAAAAACCCCCCAAAAGCATATCACCAATCTTCTTTTGTCTGTTCTCAGAACTCTGCGCACACACTTGCTGGAGCTGCTTTTGCAAGTGCACAACCAAGGGGTTCCCCTTATGTCTCACCGGACCTCTGGCACTGACGTGGCCACCCAGACAGATGGTATGGTGCTTTCCTCGGCAACTTGTCTAATCCTCTCTGCTTTGGGGGCTCCGTTAGAGTTAGCTCAGTTGGTATCATGCTGGACTGAGGAGTGGATGGCCCTGGTTTTAATCTTAAGAGCGGGCATTCGTGAACTCAGGGGTCATTTTGCGGCGTTTTCAAGGCTCTCAACGCATTCAGATTGCTCCTGTCGGAGATGGACAATACATTCGGAGGTCCCACCTCTTAAATAAAACTTATAGTGTTGAAAGGGGTGTTAAAGAACCCATACGTTTACTTCACTTTTACCTCTCTGCCTCGGGGGATGGAAGGGGGGGGGGTTGAGGGTGCCACCTGTAGAAACTCTCCCGCTGTTATTTGTGGTTGTTGTCATACTGTTCTCGGCTCTGCATGACCTTGAAAATGGTCAGCGTCTGTCACGGTTGGTGGTTGCCTCTGTTATGCCCGTTGGCAATGATGTTTAGCGATGGTTATTTTAGTTTTTTTTCAGGCAATTACTCTGGCACCAGTGGCCAAATTAGCTCCTTTATCACCAGACTTAAGTGGGTTGTTGGTTGGTGCTCTGGCGTGGTTTACTCCTTCATTCCTATCGCACATTTATCATTCCTATCGCACATTTATCATTCCTATCGCACATTTATCATTCCTATCGCACATTTATCATTCCTATCTCTCCTTCTTTTTTTTTGTATGTTACTCTTAACCCTATCATTACGCCTGGGGTCGTTTGTACCCCCGGGGTTGTATTTTTTTTACATTTTAGAATACTTCTAGTACGAAGATCTCTTTGAAACTTTCAATATTTCTCAAAAAATCATTTTGAAAGACTGCTGCTCAAAGCATAGGGATCGGATTAACGAGTAAATTTCCTCTTTGGAAAGTGGTGGCACAGAGTTCCCCAAGTCGTATGGATAGGATGATAAAACATGATGTACGGATAGGGTTAAGTAACACCTCTAATCTTCAGCACCTTTATGACCTATTTGTTTTGCAAATTTGGGATGTGGAATAATTGGTATCATCTTAAAGCTTATTCATCTGTCTAGCTTTCGGTGAAAAAAAATACCCATATATATATTGAATAGAAGTCGAGGTATTTGCAATTGAAGAAGGTGGGGGTCGCCTAGTTTCAGAGGTAAAATTAGGGAAAAACTGGCAGCCAAATTTTGGTGACTTGCAAAGCTTGTGAGTCCTTGGAAATTGCAAATTTACATTTTTTTCTTGTGCCATAAATCAATGTTTTTCGATAAAGTCCGCACAGAAATGTGTTTTTAAATGGATTTTAATGGCATTGAGTCAAAAAGCAAAAATTCCATAAGTTTTGCCCAACGGGTGGGAAAATGCCAGTTTCTTCGATTTCATTATTTTGGCGAGGGCCTGCTTTCACCACGATGCAACACATTTACATGTATTTCCTCATCAACCTTTCAGCTATATATTTGGACTCCTACTTGGCATTCTCCCCGATTTTAGTCTTCCTCTCATGCATCTTGTGGTCTCTAGTAAGTAGGGATGCTCAGTCAGAGTACTGGTGTTCGTGGCACAATGGTAAGGCTCTTCGCGGGAAGAGCAAGCGGGAAATGTGAGTTTGTTTCTCGAGTGGAGAGTTTTGTTATTCAGTATCTCCGTCTGTCGGGGTTGGTTGTGACAAGCTGGATCGAAGCAGCTTGTCTCTTAGATGGCCTAGACCCTGTCTATGGGGGCATAACACTTTGACAGTTAAGTCAAATTACACAGCGGTGTTCTAGGCTGGCCTCGAGGTGCAAATCGTCTCTGGTTATACCGTTCAATGACACTTGTCCCCTGTGGGCATAAGGAGCGATCATTTAATACTTTCTATGCCTTCTGTTCAGCTCACCTTCATGCTCAAAGGTCCAGTCTTGCTGAAGATAGTCCCCTGAAAACTGCTGGGTGAGGGGTAAGAAAATATCATTGTGAAACGTGCTGACAAAATTAGTTACTTCTCGGATTCGAGCCCTATGGAAATAGATACACCAAGCTTGTAGGTGAAGGTTTTACAATTTATAAGTATGAAATAATGAAAGGCATATTATACTTTTTTTAAATGGCATCAGTAGAAAATCTATAAATTTGACCCTAGTGCTGATTTTTTATCAATATCTCTGCTTGTACATTGCAAGAAGTAACTCATTTTGTCAGCACACCTCACAATTGTTGGTGTTTTACGCACCTATCTACACAATTTAGATAATTTAGGAGGCGGGCTACCTTGATCCTGCCTGTTAGGGCCAATCCAGGCTGAGAAGGATACAACGTCTCAGCAAACAGGTTAAGGTGATCTATAAAAATTCTCCCCAAGCAGGAATTAAAAACTCACGTCTTCTGCGCCTAACCACTACACCACTGATGCAAGTGTGTGGGGTGTGCCTGAAGGTGACGTAATTTGGGTCTTGTTGGAATTTACACCTTTACAAAGTCAAAGTGATGCTCATGTTTCTCTGCATATTTAATAGCTCTGAAGGTACTTCCTGACCAGCCTAGTTTACAATGAGTTTCCTGTGATGTTTCAGGGCAAGCGGTGAATGAGAGGGACAGAGACGGCCATCGTGCAGATAGTCGGGCTGCTGCGCGGGTAGCTGAGCAAACAAATGAGATGGCCACGAGGGGTTCAGTAGGCTTTTACCGGCCACCCCGAGGGAGTCTGAACCCCAGGGCGGATCCTTTTGTTCCCCATGTGTTTCCATCAGAAATCGAGGAGGGTGATTCCGCACAGCTTCTGTCTCCCCCAGACGGCGCAGAGTACAGCGGTGAAGTGCCTGTGCTTCCCTTAGACAACGTTAAGAGCATTGTTGGGCATGGCGGTTCGCACACATGCACTGCACTGCGAGATGTGGATGGTGCTGAGCTGGAGAATTGCTTGGAATCTTCTAAATCGAATAATCTTCCGCCTCTCAAAGAGAGTAGTAGTGTGGGCAAAATTCACCACAGTTCCCACCATGCCATAGACAGAAGGAGGAAGTTCCCCAAGTCCTTGCTCCAGCTTCCACCCCGGCTGCTCCAAAAGTGCATGACAGACAGCCACCTCTTCTTGAAAGGCGCCGGCACTCACAATAGCCACGCAGCTAACACAAGCAGTGGACATGCAGCTGACTTTGACAACAATGGTCACGCTGCTGACAGGGATAGTGACCGCGCAGTTAGCGGAGACAGCGGCCGTGCAGCTCACAGCAGGAGCAAGGTCGTTCACTTCAGACAAAGAGAGGCTGAAACTGGCTCCAAGTCTTTTAGTCCTCCTCAAGAGCTGGACTTCAGTAATACAGCAGAATCTGAGGAAATGACCACTGGTCAAACAAATGGAGGGTGTTCCCTTGCAAGGACTGAGGATGGTTATAGATGTCTGGAACTGCAAAGTGGTGTTGGACAATGTGGTGATGGAAGTGAAGGCAGACTTGACTCAGCTCTGCTCTACCACCACAACCGCAAAAATTCCTTTGATGGGAAGGGCAACGAACGTGACTCCTCCGAGGACCAGGAACATTTGTTGGATCAAAGCAAGGACTATCATGTCTTAATTCGTCCTGATGGTGACTTTACGTACTCTGTCAGTGGAAATAGTGACCTTAAACACGACAAGTTTGACAGCACAAGTGACCCAGAACATACTCTCGAAGCAGCTGGTCATGTTGGGCCTCTGGATGAGGTCATGGGCTCGGACTGTACAGCCGCTCCCATCCGTGGCCTCTCCGAACGGGTTGTCCAACATCCAACACTGCCTTCCTCTGGTGGTGAGGTAGATGAGTGCTCTAGGGGAATGCTTCCAGGTACCTTGACTATTGGAGAAACTGGTCAGGTGTCAAGGTCACAGTATGGTCTGTCATATTCAGGAGATAGCTGGCCCGTGTCAGATGATGATCAGCTGGAATTGAACCGTGATCAGGTGAAATCAGGTGATGGTCAGGTGAGAACTTTTGACAGTGGATCTAGGAAAAATGACTGTGAAACTAAGGGAGATTTTAATCAGCTAGGGCCAGACAATGGTCCGGCGAGGAAGGAGCTTGCTGTAAGAAACAGCCAAACAGTGTGTAAAGACCAGGCTGGACAAAACAGTAAAGAGGGTGTACAGGAAAGTCTCAGGGGGAGAGAATTGTGTAAAAAGATGCATTTGGCTTATACACCAGATGAACTGAGGGCTCTGAACCCCTTCAGTGGGGATGGGATGGGTCAGGCACGAGTGCTCAACGAGTTCAGAGATCGTTGTATGACTTTTCTGAAGGGTTTGCCCAATGCACACGAACTGCCCATCAGGGAGCCGCCCGGATGGGTGAGCAAGGCATCAAAGCCCACAGCCCGTTACGGCTGTTCTGGCGAAGCTCCCGTGGCTCTGTCCACTGTGCTGGGCTCCGACTGGATGAACTGGAAGAAGTTAAGTGATCTGTTGCCCGAAAGCAAACTGGGTCAGCAAAAAGTCTCGGCTCCCTCTGTTCTTCCTACCGTGGGCTCTTCTGTTGACCCAGCCCCCTACAGCAGCAGTCTTCATGCCAATAGAAGCTACGCCACTGTGCAGTCGCAGAGTGACGACAGCTTCGATTTTCACTTGGGCAATAGCCCTCATTCAGACCACAAAAGCAGCTCACTTTTGGACCGAGGCAAAAGCCCACATTCAGACCACAAAAACAGCCCACTTTTGGACCGTGGCAATAGCCCACATTCAGACCACAAAAGCAGCTCACTTTTGGACCGGGGCAAAAACCCACATTCAGACCACAAAAACAGCCCACTTTTAGACCGTGTCAGTAGCCCACTTTTGGACCGTGGCAATAACCCACATTCGGACCTCGAGAACAACCCTCATTCAGAAGGCAACAATTGTGCCGCTAAACTGCAATCGCCCACTGAGGTGTGGCATCAGCCCATGTGGCCACAAGATTTTTTCTCCAGTACCAAAACTGCAACAGCTCCTATCTCCAATCCTGCCAATGGTGACCGGAAGAACTTGACCTCCACACGCAGCAAGAAAAAGAAGACGAAGTTTCGTCCTCTCTCTGACTTTGAAGTCAGGGTGGTAAAGGATGAGGTGGAGCATTCGGAACCTGTGGGCAGACCTGTGCGTGAGGGAGGAGATCCCTACGGCTTCGACGATGATGATGACTGTGAGGGTGATGAGGATGAGTTCAGCGAGGAAATGTTGCAGATGTACATCCAACTGGAGGAGGCAGAACAGAAAAAGGATAGTGGACAGGTATTGCATTTGCCGCGACTTGGGGGCACCTGTGACGGACCGCCACGCACATCACTGTTTGCCAAACTGCGACAGCAAGAACAAGAACGAGAGCAACGCGCCAGGGAACCATGGGCTCCTGGCAAGCGGTTCTGCTCCAAATGTGGCGGGGAGGGGCATATGATGTACGACTGCCCGCAGTGGAACCAGGTTACGAGCACGTGATGGGAGAGTCGATCAGGCTCACCTGATGGGGTTATTGTGAGACACTGCATACAGTTGATGTGTGTTTGTAGCCGTCCAATTCACTTACTAGTCCAGCCTGACTCAGTTTTGCCAGATGTTTTGTAGTCTCAACATACTGTTTGGTTAAATGCTTCTACAAGGAGTTAGTATGCAATTCCAATACATAATCTATGTCTTTCAACATTGAAACCGGTGGGGTTCTGTGTGAGCAAAGCATGCATATATAGTTTCAATGAGCCACACATGAACGCCTACTTGATATTCAGTATTTGTCTTGTAATGGATATTGTGTTATTTTTTTTTTTTTTTTATGAATATTGAAATGGTTGAAGTCAATTGATAAGTTTTGTCGCAAACAGTTTAGTAAACTTCACATTCACTGAACTTGGGCCACATGTCACTTTGCTCTCTGCCCCCTCACTCTCTGTCTCCCCGCTCACCCCTCTCCTCTCTCTCTGTCTCTCTCTCTCTTTCTCTCTCTCCTCTCTCTCTCTCTCTCTCTCTCTCTGTGTCTCCCCACCCACCCCTCTCATCTTTCTCTCTCTTTCTCTCTCTCCCTCTCCCTCTCCCTCTCTCTGTCTGTCTCTCTCTGTCTGTCTGTCTGTCTCTCTCTCTCTCTCTCTCTCTCTCTCTCTCTCTCTCTCTCTCTCTCTCTCCCTCTCCCTCTCCCTCTCCCTCTCCCTCTCTCTCTCTCTCATATATACATGTGCAGAACACCAGCCTGTAGTCATCAGGAGTCGAGTTTGGTCTTGTTTCCATGCAGTCGTTCAGTGACATTCCATTCTCGTTCTCACTCGATGAGTGGTTGGCGGGTGCACTGGTGTGATTTCCTCTTTCTTCCCTATCAAACATCTGTCGTTTTTGTCTCTCTGTCTCCCCCTTATTTTCTTTGTATGTTACAAGGTACTCTCATATTACTCCTTCTAATCTTTGGCACTAATATGACCTATGTGTGTCACAAGTGCAGTAAGATTAACTCAACCTTAAACTTTGACCTCACTTGATGTGTCGAAGATGGCCCCCACTTTTGTCCTCAGGCTCTTACATGTCTCTCAGCTGGTCAGTGGACAGAGAGAGAGGGGGGAGGGGAAGGGGGAAGAGGAGTAATTATTAAAAACTTGAGTTTTCTGAATTCTGAATCCGTGTAATCAATGTGTAGGCGCTCGCTGTCTTGTGCCATGTAGGATACTTACCTTTCTCCCATCCTGAAAAAAAAATTGTGTCATGTGTGCTTCTCTTTACTCAGACAGATGAGTGTCTCAGTGTGTATTCTCAGTCTGTGTGCTGGGATATTGTATTCCACTCCGCCATGCTTGGCCCTGGTGATGATAGGCAATGCCAAAGCTGCCCTCTGACAAAACCAAAATACACTAAAAATGTTATCTGAATTGTATGGATGTGGCATTAAACAGAGCAGTTACAATCATTTGGGAAGCATCGTGCTGAAATCAGGTGCTCTTCAAAATATAATGAAATCAAAGAAATCAGCATTTTTTGGCCGATGTGCAATTTTTTTCTTATTTAATGTTTGGCTTTATGCCTTTTATGTCCATTTGAAAACATTTTTGTGTTGATTTTACTGAAAAACATTGAGTAAAGGCACAAGTAATGTAAATTTTCAGTTTCCAAGGACTCTCAGGCCATGGAAGTTACCAATGATGATACCTATAACCCCATATGCCCAAAAATTGACGATTCCACCATGTTGTGACACATTTACAATGTTACATGTTACAATCTTCCGGAGAATTCAGGCAGTGCATCATCCTTCAGTAAACTGAATCCCATTGCAGAATCTGAGAAAATTCACCTTCATCTTTGTCTAACTCAGTAATTGCTCAGTTTTCTCATTTTTTCTGTCAGACAACCCAGTTTTAGAGTTAGAGAATCTTCTTTTTTATGATGAAAGTCTCGAGACAGACTTAGTGAATGTGGCTGGCGGGTGCTCTGGTGTGGTTTGCTCCTTTTTTCGTATCGAATGTATCTATCATCCTTATCTCCTCTTATTTCGCTTTATTTATTTGTTACTCTTGTAACTAACACCTAAGATTCGGCACTTATTCTTATATGACCCTTATGTGTTGCAAGTGCCATAAACTCTAACTAAAACTAAAATTAAACTGAGGCTTTGTAGTAGAAGAAAAATGTTTACACCTGCATTTGTATCTTGATTCTAAACTGTAAATATTCACAGTCACAGGAAAACAAAGAAACCTGTTTTGAAAACATCAGATTGACGATTGAGAAAGAAAAGACGTTGTTTCCCTTGTTACTACTGTCAATGCAATGTTTGTTATTTTGGTTCTAATAAATTATGAAAATGCTTCATTGCTTTTTGCCGACACTGTCAAGGGTTGCTGTATTTTTATTTAATCCCAAATTAGTGCATTGTGGCAGCTTCATAAAAATATATATATATTGATATGTGTATATAACCAGCATCTGTGGTGTAGCGGTTAAGCACTATGCTGTTTTAATATTTCCATTCCTTTTGGGGGAATTTATCGTTCTTAGATTTGGCAAAGCGCGTTCGCCTTGTGTTGGGTTGACATTCGTTGTCTGTTTTCGACATTATCACGACATATTAGAAACATGGAAAATGTTGAATTTGGGGATACAAAATCTCTTTTAAATTTCGGACTTGCTGCAGGACTTCTTGTCAACCTCTGCTAAAAATCTGACGCTTGGTTTCTATTGTCAAACAATTAAAGTGTTCTCCTCTCAGCCATCACGAAAAGTATCCGCAGGTGAAGGATGGATCATGGATGATAGTGCGTGCGCCTTGTTGGGTGCCGAAGCTAGAGAGAGGAAGAGAGTGTAGTTGATAAGCCTTCAACAAAAATAAAATTTCTCCCACATCGGATCAAGGTCATGACGATTTAAGTTTAACCAATACTGTCCAGAGTATGCCCCGCACCCATATATATATATATATATATATATATATAAGGCGATACTGTTCCGCGTTCCACTGAAGTGAATCGCGAATGGCGTTCCGCGGGGTAGAGTGACGATTCAGTTCCGTTCTCGCGCTCTTGACCCAGCTCTAGTGCCCTCAATCTGGCTTGCCCCGCCTACCAAACCGAACCGAACCGAACCGAACCGATCGTGCCACCATGTGGCGAGCTCTACCGTGGCGTTGGTAAAAACGATAGCACAAACCGATCGCCCGACTCGCAGCCTCTTTTTTTTTTTTTGGATAAGTGTTTTACGTCGCTCGCAACTGCATAATGTCATATGAGCGCGCGGGACACACCTAATACTTTTACTTGGTAGAAAATTTTGAATTTTGCCCGGGTGGCGGCCGAAGCCTACTCTAATAAATCGATTTTAGTAGACCACCAAGGGATCTTTATCGTGGGCAACTTGCACACGGGCCCTCCGAGATTTTTCGCCCTTGTCCAAGAAGGCTAGGTGTAGATCTTTCTTACCAGAAGATCAGGGGTGTGGCAGAAACACAGCTGTAAGAAAGAGTCAAGGAGTAGCAGTAGAAAGGCAGCAGAAAGAGTCAGGAGCCCAGAGGAGGGGGCAAAGGAGGTGAGTGGGTGGGGGCAGAAAAAGGAGACAAAAGCAGACGACAGAATATTGCTAGAGAGCAGGAAAGGAGGTGAAAGGAGACAATTTTAGAGAAGAAAAGTTTTTGGTCGCTACCCGGATTCGAACCCGGGACCTTGAAAGAGAGGCCTCACATTCATCTTTGTGCCACGAGGAACCCCCCCCCCCCCCCCCCCCCCCAGCCTCGCAGCCCTAAAAAACAAACGCGCGTTTTCACTACAAGCCGCGAATATGGCGATCCTTGGGCACTCTGTCGATCCCCCAATGAATCGTGAGGGTGCGGATTCGGGAATTCGAGTCGCTGGCCCGACGTTGTGTCCTTGGGAAAGGCACTTTACACGAATTTTCCTCTTTTCACTCCAGTGGAAATGAGTATCCGACCAAAGACAGCAAAAGATCTTGTCAGTATAACGTGAGTGTTTTAGCGCCTTTACTTTAAAATGAGAGCTTGCACTGTATGCTTCCCAGGAAGCTGAGATTATTTCAGAATCCAATCAGTATCCAGGTTGGCTGGAGTAATGATATACAGTGGAAACCTGATATAACAGGGATGGTGGGAGTAGAGAAAAAATCCTGTTATATCCGATCCCTGTTAAATCAGAAAGGCAAGGAAAGTAAGCATTTGTGGACTAATCCAGCTGTACTTATTCATGGGTAGTTGCCCTTGCCACAAGTACCCACGGACAGGGGTTTTGGCACTCACTTTCTCCTTGCCTCCTTAAACTACATCAGAAGAGCTTGGTCCACAGCATCTGCATCGGGTAGTCTCATCTTCTTTCGATCCCGATCTTCTCTCTATCCTTGATAATGGTGTGAATCGACCCTTGTGGAATTTCGAACTGACGACAAATCTTTGCCAGTGGAGCTTGCTTTTTGTCAACAGCCTGGATTATTTCACATTTTTTTGTCAAATGAAAGGCATTTTCTCTTGCGCTTGACATCGTTATTGACACATTACGCGTGCGTGTTGCTAGGTTTCGGGCCAGATCGAGGTCTGCAGCACACCCCAGCCCTCTCTCACTTCACACGCTGCGTGTGCTCGCGGTGGCATGTCTTGCGTGGGATTGCTCCATCACTGCGTTATTCTCTCTCTCTCTCTCTCTCTCTCTCTCTCTCTTACTTTTTACACATTGTTAACGAGCCTTTGTCTCTGCTATAGTATAACCGGTTGGGCTCCGATGAGGCCCTGTTATTGCCGATAACTTTCAATAGAGACAAAGAAAGAGTAGGAAAAATCGGGGATTTTTAAAAATCCCTGTTATTACCGGATCCCTGTTATTACCGGGCCTGTTATATATGGTTTCCACTGTATATTGTAAAGTGCATAGCTTGTTGTTGACAGGTGAGCGGGAATGTGCGAGGCCTACAACTACCATTAATGGTATTTATCATTTATTTATTATATAAATCACATCTGTCTTGACCTACCACCTGCTTACATGAAGTGGTTTATTGTGCTTTCTATAAATTATAAATAATCATAGTTCCAAGTAGCTGTGTATTATAATATATCGCGGTATTCGACATGAGGCCCAACACTGAATTACGTTGTAGACTTATGTCATGTGTAATACACGTAATATATGTGTTGAATTGTTGGCTTTTTCTCTGAATCAACATCAATGATCCTACGATAAAATGTGGATCGAACTCTCATCTAGTCATGTCGGTCGAGGTCGAACATACTCAGTTCGTGAAGACATCTCGGCTGTTGGAATTCGTAACGCAGCAGGTTTGACAAGCTGT